TCGTCTATAACCGCTCCCGCCGTTCCTCCGGTGGCCCTTGAGACCATCACTCAGCACATTGGGAATACGCCGCTAGTACGGTTGAATAGGATACCGCGCAGCTTGGGCATTGAGGCCACGGTGTATGCAAAATTGGAATCCTTCAACGCAGGGGGAAGCGTGAAGGACAGGATTGCCTTGCGCATGATTGAAGAGGCAGAGCGGTCGGGGCGCATCAAGCCCGGTGATACTTTGATTGAGCCTACTAGTGGAAACACGTACGTTGCCTCACGCCTTCGCTGCATTTTTCTCTCCGGACAGCATGAGCCTAATTAAATTTTGGTTTTCAGTGGTATTGGTCTTGCTCTTGTCGCCGCTGTCAAAGGTGAGTCGTCTTCCTCGGACCATTTGACCCCAAGTCTCAGGTTGCCAATGTCTGACCCTTCTGCTGCGTTTGTATAAGGCTACAAAACAATCATCACTCTGCCCGAAAAGATGTCTGCTGAAAAGGTCGCCGTACTGCGAGCCTTGAATGCCACCATCATTCGTACACCCAACGAAGCTGCTTTCGACTCTCCCGAATCTCACATCGGTGTGGCGAAGCGCCTTGAGAAGGAGCTTCCGAACGCGCACATATTGGATCAATATGGCAACGAGAACAATCCGTTGGCACATGAGTTAGGGACAGCTGAGGAAATCTGGACCCAGACGCAAGGACAGATCACAGCAATCGTTGCCGGTGCAGGAACCGGCGGAACTATCACCGGTCTAGCTCGGGGCTTAAAAAAGCATAATCCCAGTGTTCAGGTCATAGCTGCTGACCCTCATGGTTCGATCTTGGCTCTCCCTGCTACGTTGAATCAGGAGCATCTTAATGAGCCCTATAAAGTGGAAGGAATCGGCTACGACTTTATTCCCGAAGTCCTGGATCAGAAACTCGTCGACAAGTGGTACAAAACTGCTGATAAGGAGTCTTTCCAGTACGCTCGTCGCCTAATTGCAGAGGAAGGGCTTCTTGTTGGCGGAAGTAGTGGTAGTGCCATTGCGGCTTTGGTTCAGGCTGCCAAAGACCAGAGATTCGGCAAGGATGATGTGGTAGTTGTAGTCTTACCGGACAGCATCAGAAGCTACCTTACTAAGGTATTTTATTGTTTCCCATGCAGCTATCTAAGGTGGCCATTATTCTAATTGATTATAGTTTGCGGATGATGACTGGCTTGCTGCGAACGGGCTCCTGGCAGCTCCCGCCACTGATGCAGCATCTTTGTCTCCAACGCTAAAGCCGCAAGGACAACAAGATGCATTTTCTGGCTCAAAGGTTAAAGCTTTGAGACTCAAACCGATTACCACGGTTCGGTCGAACATCCCATGCGAAACCGCCATTGAGATGATGCGTGACAGAGGTTTCGATCAACTTCCTGTTTTGGCAGCCTCTGGGAAGAAGCTTGTTGGGCTTCTCACATTGGGCAACATCCTGAGTCGGCTTACCCACGGACGTGCTACAGGGAAGAGCCCTGTGGCGGATGTTATGTTTGATTTTAGCAAAATACCTGAAGTTGTCACAGATCCCAGAGATATGGGCATGGCAAAACCCCAGAACACGCAACAGATATCTCAGATCAAAAACCGAAAATTTGTTGAGATCACCATGGAAACGCCCCTCAGTGTGTTGAACCGATTCCTGGAATGGAACAGTGCAGCCGTTGTCACCGAGAGAGGCGAGAACGGAGCAATGAAGCCAGTAGCAGTTGCCACGAAAGTTGACCTGTTAAGTTGGATGCTTCGTCACAAGGAGAATGGCGCCTCAGAGCCTCAATAGAAACAGTCCTCTCGCATACTGTCTGTTTTGGCGCGCGATTTCGTCTGGGCTATTTTCTTCTCTTTGCTCATAAGCCTGGGCCTGCTATCACCATCGGCCGCTGTACTATTATATCCTTAATGAATAACGGGGTGAGTTGGAGTATATGGTGGAATCTGTGGAGATAGTTTCAAGACTGGGAAACGAAACATGACCCTTTTTTTTTCTCTTTTCTAGGTTTACGTTCACATGCTGTTGAATTGTATAGGTTTGGCATTACCTTCAGAGCCAGAACTACAATTGACCACATCAGCGATTGCCAGTTGTTGCAATCTTCCTGTGCGAGATGTAACTCGGTATAGTTCTTAGAAGATACTTTACAATACTGGCACTATGATGTGTACTCTTTATTGCGATAGTATTTCAGATGGATAAACTGCCAGTGCAACTCACATACAGGAAGATCTGGCCGTTCAGCACAATTTATTAATGAGAAAAATGTTTCAGTGACGGCAAATCTTTTGTGGCAAGTCAAACCTGAAATCTACCACCATCTCAGTAGGACCAAATTAGACCATGAAAGTAGTCGGATTGTACAGCTAGTACCTGCGCAAGGTGCCAGAGGGCGGTCTGGCACTAACTATTGTTGTAAGGCCCGCAAGTACTGCAGCTTGCACACTGTTGTTAGAGCCGGATTGTTGGAGGATACGATATCAAGGGCTAAGGAACTGAGACAATACAAATTCGTTGAATTGGTTGAATAACTGACTGAGGAAGGAACTAGCTACGGCTACGTGGTGTTTTCATGTTTCCGCATCACTTGACCCAGCGATAAGGCCACACGCGCCGACACGGATACTCTGATCTGTGATTATAATAACACTCTCAATCTCAAAGATTTTCTGACTAAGAAAACACAAGGCGTTAAATATCGTTGCAGGGCCAACAACATTAACATAATGTTTGGGTCAAAAATAACGGTCACCAGTCCTGATCGCAAGCTTGAGCTGAATATGTTGATCATGTATTAAGCACAATTTCATCATGTTTCAGCCCCGGTCAGCTTATAGGAGAACACATTGAAGACGAGTTTACCTCAGCTAGTCGTCTAGCTTTGCAATAAAGTACCCTGTCCAGGAGTGATGCTACACTTCCATCCTTAATGGAAGCTTATTGCGAATACCGATATAGCTGAGAACGTCAGCTGCACGTAATATCTGAAAGCAAGCTGACCCCCTCCATTATACTCTTGCAACGACCCAAGATCACCGTTTCTATACACGACCAGACGCTAAAGCCAGATAAGGCTAGGACCTCAATAGGAAAGACGTGACAAGATGTCCTTGAGAAAGTGAACAAGTTGGTTAAGAACCATCCCTACATCAATCCTGCTAATTCTCTCACCCTTTCCTGCAAATCATATTTCAATGCTGTTCGATACCAGCCTAAAGGAAATGGTAGAGGGGTGCATACATATATGATCACTAAGGCAGTTCTTCCCATCTCTTTGTCCAGTATATTGACAAAGTATGCCCATTGGATCATGTGACTTCTGAGACTGATGACATCTCGCCGGGGATGATAGACCTCACACTCTGTGAGCGTATACCTTACAGGCATTGACCTATCCATTCCTCCCATTTGCGCACACCAGATCCAAGATTGCTCTCCTCATCGCCCATGACTGCTCCTCCGACAACGTCTACTACTATACCGACTTCGTCTTTCAAAGACTGGAACGAGAATCTATCGTGAGGGTCGCTGCTGCCTAGAATATCGTCTTCACCGTCGGCAAGGCCAGCGTCAACACTAGCATCCAAAAGATTTTTGCTCCGAGAGCTCCGGAGTCTGCTAATCTCATCCTCCAATTTCTCCCGCACGGATCCAGGCGGTAGGGCGGTGAAGAGGTCTTGTTTGTTGGCAGCCACAAGCACAGGAACTCCAGATGCTGCTTTCTTTCCCCCACTCAAAGCACGTCTCTGAAGGATCAAGAGCACATCGTACAAGTAATTGGCTGTATCCCGTAGGATTTCGGGATTGGCAAGTACTGCGGTGTCCACCATGTACAAGACACCACGCAACTTCGACTTCGCATCCTTTGAGGCCGACATGGAGAGCAATTGCGAAATAGCTTGGGATTCACGGAGTTTTCCATGACCAGGAGTGTCCATCAACCGATATTTGACCGGATTCTTGGCAATATCCTTCAACGAAGTGTCATTCACCGATCTATAGCGATTTGATGCGGTCGGTACTGAGGCGGGAAGGCTGATGGTAGCTGCAGTAGATGTTTGGGACGTATGAGTGACTCGAATATCTGTACGAGCAGGAGACGACTTTGCTTCGAGCTGTTACCCATGAGGAGTGTGTCAGCTAGACGTGGGGGGGGGGGGAGGGCCGGGGAGAGAAAGAGCCTTTAAGGGAAGTCAGACCAGAGTCAAGAGAGCGGTCTTTCCAGCCCCATTAGGGCCCAAGAGCAAGAAATTGCTAGACGGTGGAGATGCAACCGTTCGGTAAAAGAGAAGATGCAATAGGACGGGCAGTCCAAACGCGATGAAGACCGTAATAGCAATCGCGATAGGGCTGCCGTCGAGCAAGCTAGTAGCTATGCCTTCTAACGAAACCCAATCCCCGTGCGAACGCATTTCGACTGGATGCGTCCGTGGGATAGAGGTATCTCTAGGCAGTTGAGACAAAACCTTTGTGGCCGTGACAAAGGAGGAGCGCAGTGGTTGAGAGCAGGAAAAGAGGAGGAGCAGGGCGGAGAGTACGAGTGAGCAATTTAGAACATACGTAGCTAGATGGATAAGATTGACTCGACTGGAGTGGGCCCTTTCACAACCGACGCTAAGACCGCCTTCATCCGAAAGGGTCAGGTTAGCTCTCAACTACCGTTCCATAGTCTAGGTAGTCCAGTCTAATCATGGAGAGTACAGTACGTACCACTTCTTAGGATGTTAATATTTGACTGCCTGACGGCCATGATCCCACTACGTGCCCTGTTCCCTTTCGGGACCGCGTTCCTTACTGCCAGCCAGGTGTAGAGGGTGCCAGCATACCGTCGATTGCAGGGGCAACGCAAGGGCGCGTCAATTTCTCAACTCATCAAGTCATTCTGTTTGTTCAATCTCTGTCTTTCAAGTAAACGTCACAGATGAACTCGCAGAATCATCGGCCTCTGAAAAACTGTGCTCTAATTTCTCTCTCTCTCTCTTATCACACTATGATGGTCAGGCACTTGATATTGTTCCTTCTCGCTGCGTTGTTTCCACAAGCACTCGCAGATGTGGAGTTTGTGATTCCAAAATCCGGTGCCGTCCTGCAAACCGGGGATGTTCTTTTGGCCCAGTGGAGAGAATCAGGCAGGCTTCCCCTGATCTCTGACTTCCTACACTACGATCTCTATCTCTGCGCCGGCGGGGAGGTAGTGGGCACTTATGTGGGGCTCCTGTCTCTACACATGATTTATGTATCTATCGGAAGCATACTGACCACTGCGGGTGCTGCAGGAAGATGTAGTTCTGCTGTCGAAAGGAAACGTCTTTGCGAGGGGTAACTCAATATCCTTCATGCTCGACCCCAGCTTGAGGGAGACTGATGCAAATACATAGTAAGGAGTATATAGCAGTGTGCATCTGCTGTGCCACACCATACGATCAAGTGATAATGGGCAGCCCATTGCTAACTCTGCCATCACTGACAGCTTTCTAAAAATGGTCTCTTGGGGCACGGGTGCCTCCGTCATAAATTTTTCTGAGCAGTTCACGATAAGTAATATGACCGGCCCTGTCTCAGCATCCGTCTTGCACAGCTTGCCTCCCACAAATAACGACTCCGCACTTTCGGATTATGAAATGTCCAGACATCATGAACTACGAAAGAGACAAGTAGAAGAGGCTCTTACAGTCCCATATCAATTGCAGACCGGGCCTACCAGATATGCGCCAATGGCTAAGAAGCCTGCAAGCACAATTCCAGCCAAATTGCCGACTCCCCAATTTCCGGCAAGCGCATATACCATCGCCACAACCTATCTCCCCCCAGCAACCGTCCAGGTCACCCTCTCCGCCTCTGTGACATACTCCGTGGCCAGTATTGAGAATACTGTATGTTTTGAGATGTTGCTTGCCCTGGCAAATGTCTTCTCAACTGTGGTGTGACCTCGAAGATTGAGCTAACGGATCCTGGACAGGCCTCTCCCGCACCACATTTGCACGACGCACAGATGAGGCGATTCTTAGAAAGATGGAAAGACTAAATTCGAAGTCTTGTAACAGTGTTCAGCACCATCTCAAAGATATTGATTTCCCCATCGTATTGCTCATGTCTCAATCGCTAATCGGGTCATTACCGAGCACGTCTCGTGCACTCTTCCAGGCAACCAGCTTTAAAGGCTCATAAGATTGACCGGAGACCATGTTATGATAACGATAGACGCTCGTTCAATCACTAATCAATTTGGAATCAAGAAAGACCTGGTAGATCATGATATCGTTGCGAGATCCCATCAGTAACTCATGTCAATTACATAAAACTAGGTATTCTTAGCCAGGAATGGTACCACCATGATCTTCAGTCTTTTTCGGTGCAGCTGTATTGCTTAGATGTTAGAATGGGAGAAGGGGAGGAAGGGCTAGAAGCCTACGGAAAATAGGGTTTTCAAGTGTTCGAAGAACGTAATGAACAAACTCAGTAGCAGCGTCTAGCTTGAAACTTTGGTGGGATCTACCGGCCTGAGCTGTCATCGTTCTGCAAAAAGGCAATATTCTCACGGAGCGCCACATATTCACTATCGGCATACCCGAGTAGTGTTTGGATTTGTGTGCTCCTGTGACCCTTAACGCGCTCAATCTCAATACTGCCATAATTGACCAAGGCACGTCCAACTTCTTTGGGCTCTTGTCCATGATGAAGGAATTCGCCATCGAGTGAGTCGGGAGACACCTTCCCAATCACGACTAACCTTACCACTTCTTGTTGAGAGAAGTGACCTTCCACCCCTATTACACCGGCAGGGAGCAGACTGGCCTTTTTCTGAAGAGCACTATATGCGCCGTGGTCTATATAGACTGTACCCCGAGGCTTCATTCCGTGAAGAAGCCAAAATGATCGGGATTGTATCGGATTCTCCGATGGAATGAATCGCGTGTGTAGCGGAGGCGAAGCCCGGGAGCTGCTTGATACCTTAAAGACCTCGACTGGCTCGGCCACTGCATCTGTTACAATAGACCTTCGACTCTGCTGTTGGAGATAATTGACAATATCATGCACATTTCCGGGCTTCGAACTCTTGGTGATGATAGTCGTTACGCCAGCACTAGTTCCAAGCTTTGCGGCGACGATCTTGGTACTCATACCCCCGGTACCCAAAGATGATCCAGCCGATGAAACATCTGCTTCTAAGGTTGAAATATCCGTGACAACTTCGATAGGGCGCGCGTCGGGATTTGTACGGGGATTAGCAGTATAGAGACAATCAACATCCGTCATCAGGAAGAGGTAATCGGCCTTGACCATCGCTGCTGTGATCGCTGATAGCGTATCGTTGTCACCAAATTTGATTTCCTGGTAAAGTGAGCATGACATTCCGCGACGCAATAGGTGCGGACGAAGGGTCAACCTACGGAAACAGCCAACGTGTCATTCTCATTGACAATGGGTATTACACCCATATCGAATAGTTGCGAGAAGGTATTTTGAGCATTGATGTATTGTGTTCTCTATTGTCCTGTTAGGGATGGCGAACATTCTCGTTGGTCGACAACGATGCTTACATCGGCAATATCGTTCCTAGTTAACAGGATTTGCGCGACTGGGAGACGCAGGTGCGCAAACAGACCATCCCAGAGACTCATCAGCCTACACTGGCCAACGGCAGCCAATGCCTAGAACACTATGGTCAGTACTTGTGAATCTAACGCCTGCACAAATCAATTCCGTATTGTATACCTGTATCCGAGGTAAGTGTTTAGGTCTCTCTTCCACATCCATCCTTCGCAAACCCACACCAACAGCGCCCGACGAAACAAGAACAACATTATGACCTTCTTTGTGAAGCTTGGCAACTGTTTCGACTATGAGCGTAAGGATGGACAGTATAGGTTCATGGGTGTTCTCGTCTACTATGGAACTGGTTCCTGCGCATCAAGTTCTGGTTAGCTTCTGCCTTCAGTCAGCCATTGCATAATCCGCACCCAGCTTGATGACAATGGTCAGACGCTTAGAGACCATTGTGATTTGAGACTCAAATTATTGAATGCTCAGCTCCCAACCATGACTATTGCACAGTGCTACTGTGGGGCGTCAGAAGTTGGCTGTTAACTTGGGCTCTAGTTATTGCTGTGAGTCAGCTGCAAAGACACCCTTTTCTGTCACTACTCACCGCCCATATGTACTGTACGGAGCTTGCTGCGGAATCAACTGTCGAGAGCATACAAGGACAAGCGAACCTTGAATAGTAGGATATCTAGGCTATATTCCTCTTCCAGTACTCATACATGATGACGGACTCTCGGGAAAATGACACTTCATCAAAGCATAAAACCTCTAACGGCAGTGGCTTCATTCCTGGCGACGACACCTGGACGCAATGGCGCAATGTCTTCGCTATCCTGACCGATAGAATGACCGATGAGGGCAAAGAACAATTCCGTGTTGCGCGTGACACACGGAATGAAGCTGCGGACTGCAAGCGCTGTGAGGATCAGCGAGACTATCTATTGCAATTCAGTGAGTCACATCCATATCTGCCTGCCTGCCTGCCTGCAATGAAGACACATGGATTCAATGTTGTAAACAACCCGCTGATTGAATTCCCTTAAAGGTCCAGTGATTCGATTCATGAGCGACAGCATCCGCCAGCTAGGTGGTAATCTTTCCAGCCATAATATCTACTGCCGCCGATGTACCAGTCGAAAAGCAGGGGGGTTTGATCCCGACTACGGTATTCTGCTTTGCGCAAATGAAATGAAGGACCAGAGCCATTTAGAAGATACACTAGCACATGAGATGGTTCATGCCTATGATCACCTCAGGTTCAAAGTTGACTGGTCAAACAATCTTAGGCACGCTGCTTGTACAGAGGTAAAGAGCCATACCCTCAAGCCACCTGCGCCATCGGGTTGATAGAAAATGACTAATCGTGAGTAGATTCGAGCCAGCTCACTGAGCGGGGAATGCAGATGGGCACGAGAGTTTTTCCGAAGGGGTCAATGGAAACTGACACAGCAGCACCAAGAATGTGTACGACGAAGGGCGATCTTGTCGGTGCGGGCACGGCCAGGATGCAAAGATGAAGCCCACGCCGAGAAGGTTGTAAATGAAGTTTGGGACAGCTGCTTTAGAGATACACGCCCCTTTGATGAGATATATCGCTAGTTACGGATGTCTGTTTCCACCAAAACTCTTCCTCAAAGTGTGTGCCGTATGTTTAACTTAAAGTCCAAGTGCCAGTAAGACCGATCAGAACTCCATCGCTAATCCAGGAAGACCAGCATCCATATTGACAGTAAACGCCAGTGTGATCAATTCCGTGGTTGCAGACCATGGCAATGTGAAGGAAAAACAATACAGAAGGGGTAAGATCTTCTGAACTCGAAAACGCCCTGAAATGCCCGGGCAGTACAGTCATGCTTTGACATCCTTTGATGTTCCAGAACTCCGCTTCGTTTCCTTAACACAATGCTTGAGAATCCATGGATGACACTGAATCTCATCCAAAGAGATTCGCCTGTCTGGGTCGATTACAAGTAACTAAAAGGCTGTTAGAAAGGTTCGGCTAGGATACGGGACTTCTGCATACTCTCTTGATTAAATCTTTTGCTTCTGGACTCACAAAGGACGGAACGGTCATGTCGGCTCTGGCAATTCTTCGCTGCGTCATGACAGGTGTATCTTCAAAGGGCGCTTCCCCAACTAGGAACTCGTATGTCAAGACACCGAGACTCCAGAGATCAACCTTCTCATTGTAGTAATTGTCCTGAGATCCGGGTTTAAGCATCTCAGGAGGCAGGTAATCCAGTGTCCCACACATTGTCTGCCTCCTATTGTTAGGTGCATGAACACTCCACCCGAAGTCACTGATCTTGATTTCACCATGAATCCCAACAAGAATATTTTCTGGCTTGATGTCTCGATGCATGACATGCTTTTTGTGTAAGTATTTCAAAGCAGCAGCCATCTGAGCAATGTACTGCGCAGCCTTCCACTCAGGGAATCGATGTTCTTTTCGGAGATGCTTGTACAGTTCCCCTCGCCCGGCAAATTCAAGAATAAGGAAAATTCGTTTGCTATCATGGAAGTGCCCATAAAGCCTCAAGACGTTAGGATGACGAAGATTGCTTTGTATCTCGATCTCTCGTCGGACTTGCTTCTGCACTCCACCCTGCTGCAGCTCGGATTTATGCAGTACCTTGAGTGCGCATACAAAGCCGGAGGCTCTCTCCTTGGCGAGGTAAACTCGACCGAACTTTCCCTTCCCTAATGGTTTGCCAATCTCAAACATTCCCAGGTGTAACTTTTTGGGGGATGGTTGGTCGTAGAGTGGGGTTGGGTGTCGTTGCTCCCCATTCTCGTCGAGGTTACGGTGTGATAGCGTACTCTGAGAGCTCTTAACTGGTGACAAACTGACGTTCATTGCATTCACTTTATTTTCATTGGTGTTCTGCAGAGCCAGCTTGAGCAAGTTAGATCGGCTGGCGCCATTATATTGTCCGGCACTCGTCGGGGGCATGGCTGGTGATAGTGTGCTCTGTCAAGATCATTAGCAGCGTCCACCAAAAACGAGACCTAGATGATTTTCTACCTTAGACTTTTGATAGGCGCCGCCATTTTGCACGCTCTCGTGTTCTTCTTTGACTGAAAGACGCTCAAGGCGCGCTTCAAGTGTCTTGGTAGCCATTTGCTGATAAGTGTGAAGCAGGTATGACTTTTGCGATGGAGGTCTAAAACCTAGCAGCTCAGTGTCGTGTCGACAAAGTATTTGATCTTCATAAAGTTTCTGGCTCAAGCTCACAATGTTGGGAACCACATGAGATGAGAATTGGGTATCGAATCGCATTGAATAACAAGTCGAAGTTGAGTGAACCGCAATCGCACGGGTGTTTATCAGTTTCAAGGATATGCTCGGTCGCCCCAGCAACTCGTCGGTCCGCCTCTCCCTCCGACATCCGCGGGGTATGACCTGCTTCACTCTAGGGGAGCGAATAGCTGCTCAGACGAATCATACACCGACTGGAGGCTTCTTTGATACAGAATGAACATTCTCGGTTGCAAGCCTCCCGGCGAGGCGGATACAACCGCAATCTCGCCGTTCCATCGGAGGCCGAAATCAATAGCAATCCAAGGCTTCACGGTCACTACTCAAACACTTCCGATATTAAAAGCAGAGCCCATAGAGAAGATGACGAAGGATCTAGGGATCGCCCCTCCAGAAATGATTTTTGGCGACAACTTTGTTGAAATTGCGCATGAGGGGACTCCATGGAAAATTACATTCAATGCATTCGATGCCTTGGATCGAGTTGATAAATCCGGCGAATCCATGCTACAAGTCGCTTACTCGAAGCAATGGCAAAAGAGCAGGTAATCGAATAAACCAGTTCCTATCAAGCAATCTTGCGCAAATCTTCAGGTTAGTGGTCGAGGTTAACTTCTTTTAGAGAAAGAGCTCATGAGGGTATCAAAGAGATCGTCAAGCCCTTCGACTGGTCCTACAGCACGGACTACACGGGGACTCTCGGCCCTGGTAGTCGACCGTTTGAGGCAACGACCAAACGTATACCAACTGATCTACTCAAGCGGCCAGATCCGATTCTGTTCTATGATGATGTGGTTCTTTATGAGGACGAACTAGCTGACAACGGTATCTCCATGTTCTCATGTAAAATACGTGTTATGCCAGCTAGACTCCTGCTGCTCGCCCGCTTTTTCTTGAGACTCGACAATGTTCTGTTTCGACTCAGGGATACAAGGATCTATGTTGACTTTGGTACTGGGGAGGTAATTCGAGAATATCAATCCAAAGAATGTGATTACGAAACGGTGAGACAGGTAGGTTGCTACGTCGCTTTGCATGCTATAATATGGTTAATGAGTTTTTCAAGGCTCTGGCCTTAACAAGGGACGATGTCCCAGCCGCTATGAGGGACCCCAACAGACTCTCAGACTTCCTCCGCCTTGTTGATACACGTCTAGAGAGGGCTGTCCTTGTGGCCAACTGACAAGCCTGGGTCCGGATCCAATATAACCCCTCCGCCCCCTCTTCCCCTTCCCCTTATACTCAGGGGAATGTCTCGTTCTTAGATTTCTATAGCCTTTCTATAAATGAGACCAGCTCGGGGTATACAATCTGTACATGTTGGATTCTCCGTATTGTTGACCTGTAGTTCTTCCCATCTCACCTACAGCTGCATCTGGTAAATTGACATATACGTATGTCATTACTTATCGGGCGAAGCCTTGGAGCGCGGTGTGATATGAGCGATCTACATGGACTCCACAGATATCATGATTCAGCGGTAAGCGGAGTATGCCGAATTTTTCTATTCATATTTTCTAACAGTAAATGGTTACTCGTGGCGTTTGAAATACTGTACTCGAATGTGGGAGGCCGACTGGCTATCTTATTTGCTCGTGATTACTAAAAAGCAAGGGGAGTGCAAATGGTGCAAACGCGGATGCCAATCTATGATGACAATGAGCTCTATCTCAAGCAAACTTCAAACCTTTTACGCATGATACAGGCTTAGCCTCCTGGATACCAGTGGCATGCAGACCCTCAAAATGCCGTTCAGTGCAATAAGATCCATACAGACACAGGATCTGTGTCTGCCGCAGTATTCAAAATTCAAGGTATGTTTTGCAAGACGCCTGAACCGCTCAGATCATAGCCAATTAAACCGAATCTCGTCAGGTTCTTTCTCCCAACAGACTATCTAGACCACGTCTAGCCTCTTATCGATCTATTTGCAGCGCTAGCAGTGTTACGCAACATTTGACTCACGATTCCTCGGTCCTGAAGAAGCGCTCCGCCAGCCAGCTGCTTGAGCAGACCGCATACCCAGTGTCTGGGTTTCACTCACAAAGTGCTCGAGCTTCATCACAGCTAGCGCGGGCGATTGCTTCACGCCCTGGCACGCCTGCAGAGACATACGTTGCATATGGTCTGACTCAAAAGCTTTTTGAGGCTTGTTCCACACAAGCAGAATACACTATACCGCAGTTAAACAAAAAAGGAGGACAGGTTCCCAAGACTGATGCTGGGGAGGATCTTGGGGTAGGCGAAGGATGGTGGTATAAAGGTCGGTTTACTTTCCCATTCGGCAAAATCAATCTCCATCTAATATTGACGGATGAATTCTTGCCAGAATTGGGGCTCTTGCCCACATTTTCCACATGGTCACAAGTCACTTTCCTGCACATGTACCTATTGACTGCCCGACTACGTGCTCTGCCATCACATGAAAGCCTTCAGACTTATTCACAACACTTGATCGACCACTTCTCGCACAACGCCGAACATCGCATGGATGTACTTCATGGGTTGACCAGTCGTGCTATCAGGAATAAATTTCTCAAGGACCTATTTATCCAGTGGCGTGGTGCTTTGGCAGCTTACGATGAAGGCATAATTAAGGGGGATGCTGTACTCGGCGCTGCTATCTGGAGGAATTTGTGGAAAGCCGGTCACACCGCTCCCAACGGCGATGAAATGGATTGGGCCAAGGTTGCCCTTGTTGTCGCATATATGCGACGGGTGCTGCATGATCTCTCGCTCGTGAATGAGGCTGATTTGGCACTTCGGTTAGGACGCGAAAAGGAAGGCCGGCCTGGTATATTCTCGTTTTCTCAGGCAGATAAGAAGCTGGTTTATGGGAAATAATTGGTTTGTTGGCCATGCATTCCAGGTTCAAACCCCTTATTTCGGCAGGCTGTAGATCTATTCTTACCAAATATTCTTCGTCATTACTGGGTTGGTCTCGTCACTTTGATTATCGGCCATGTCCCGCCCTGTCCGACGATTTCAGCGAACAATCTTTGGTCCAGACGATTCAGAAGTCCTCTAAATGTAGATCAAAGTTGCATTACATGTGCGCCTAGTATGAAGAAATGGTTGCATCCACGTTACCCACCCCCCTGGGTCGCATCAAATGCTAAAAGCATAATGACAGGATAGCAGTATAATCAGGCATCTTTCTTGCCAAACAAGTCCTTCTCGACCATGGCGCGGCATATAGGATGATAGAAGGCCTTATTCTGCTCGAAGGTTTCAACGGCGACTGGTCGATCAATCTTCTGCAAGCTTCGATACCTGTAAGTCAAATCAGCGCCTAAATCCTTTACTTGCGAATCGGTGATCTGCGTACAAAGGCCGCACAAACTTCATCCTACCAATCCTGCCAAGCAGTTTCGTTGTTGGTCCAATAACACTGCTGTCACCAGCTTTCAAGCCAACTTGGAAATAGAGATTGGCGACTTCTATGTTTTCGCTCTTTGCAAGTCCATAAACATCGCCCATGAGCCTCGACAACTCTGGTGTCAGTGATCTCTCGAAGAGAAGCACTTGCTCCAGGAAGACAACCATCTGATTGGCTGTGAGGTCATCGATATCACTAGGGTGTGGTTTAAAACGGGAGCCGGGAAGGGCCTTCCACTTGTTTGAAAGGCTATAGACAACGTCAACTAGCGAAGTATCAAACTCCGGCTTAGGAGGCAAGCCCGGCGCGTAGAACCATCCGTCCCAATCAAGCTCATTCAAGAGCTTGGAAGCTTCCGCGTCAGACTCGAAGAAATCTAGCATGGTCGATTTGAACTCGTAGGAATCCAAGGATTTCTCCTTGAATACTGTGAAGTACTGTATCAAGAGAAATTAGAATGTGTGCATGATCTCTTCGCTGGGGCAACAGGCAAAATACATGAGGTATGAACTGGTCAAATTTATGCTTTCCAATCAGATTCTCCAGATAAAAAAGAAAGTTGAATCCCTTCTCATATGGAATACTGGAGAATGCATCATCAGGGTCTTTGCCTTTCAAATCTGTGACTAGTTTTGTGAATTCATGGTCATGTCCGAAATGCTCGACAGAATCTGTGAGCGCTTTCCAGCCTATAATAGCGGAAAAGTGTCGATACGACTCGCCATGACTTCGAAATAGTTAGCACTAGTAGAAAGAGTACACGAGGCTCTAACACTTACACCACAGCGAGGATCTATATCAATATTGAAAACGCGGGTTATACACTTTACCGGCAAATGGTAGATAAAGAAGTGGAAACGATTCGACTTACCCGCCTTTCCAGATAGGTGGTCCAACCCTCATTGAGCCAGAAATGCTCCCATGAAGCATTGGTCACAAGATTACCACTCCAGCTGTGCGCAAGCTCATGGGCAATGACATCGATGTTTTCCCTGTCCTGGTCATGAAAGTAAGCACCCACGGGCAATTCATCGGATTGGAATCCATCCACAACACTGTACCTTGGAGATAATACTGGGTGTCGCGAAAGTGAAAACCGGGTTCTCCATTCCTCCATAGGGGAAGCTGGGTGGGAGGATCAAGACATTGTACTTCCCCCAAGCGTATGGGTAGACAATTCCCTATGCCAGTGTTATAAGGAATAGCACCTGAATCCTGACTGCATACACACCTCGATTGCTTCGATGAACTTCTCCGTATCGGCTTCAAGCTCCCATTGGCATTCGCCGAGCTTGTCGGGACTGCTAGCAACAATACTTCGGGGTCCAATTCCTGCCTCGGAAATATCACTGCGGATGGTCGATTTAGTGATCCACTTATCGAAGCTGGTTCATACCGAGGTTTCAGGCACGCTTACCCACTGGCCAGAGCGAAAAGATAGCTCGGAATGGGCACTCGCTGGTGAAAGCGATACACTGTCCTGTCGTTGGGGGGTGGCGTCCCCGATGAGTCACGGACTGGCAGCCCACTCGCAATCACGGGTAATGGTGACGAGATGTTGAAATCAATGGTGGACTTGACGTCAGGTGTATCTTGACACGGAAAGATAGACCGGGCATGAATCGCCTGACATTGAGAGACTGTCGGAAGGACAAGCATGCGGGGTTAGAATTAGTAGACAGAGTGACACTCAGGCTTTCTCGCTGGTAGGACAGGCAGAAATCAACCCACACATATACGGATGCCTTTTATTAGAGGTTTGACCCGGGGTCAGCCACTGAAGGGCAGTGCATTTCTCAGTGGTTTGAAGAGCGATCTACGCAAAAGTTCTGTATGTTAGGCTAAGGCTGGGGTTACTCTCCTATGAGGCACATACCTCGATGTCGATCGTCTCATTCTTCTGCACACTCCGGTCAAGTTTGATCTTCAACGCCCTGCCGTAGGGATCGGAGGGCGGAAGAAGCTCCCAAGTCAAAGGCTTGCCATCAAGGCTGACGCTACCAATATCCACATGGTTTGAGTCCAAGATAATCTCCTGCGACTCACCATCGGTGGCTGACTGGAACGTCTGAGTGACGCTGCCCACGAGCTTTTTCTCATGAAAGAGAATATCAAAATTGGCAGTGATGTGGTTGCATCGCCAGTTGTGGTAATTGCTGAGGGTATTGGGATCCCTCGGGACATTGACGATGGTCGCCATGCTACGACGTGTGGAAGCTCGAGAATTTTGAACACTCCGGGATATGCGAATGAGGGGTCTGAAACTGAGAGTAGATGGAGACGTGCGAATTGTTCCCCGCGGAAAGCTTGTTCGCCAGAGTAGGGCCAGAGAAACGCCGAGCATAACAAGAATAAATGAACGGCACTAGGAGAAAATATGCCTTACACCAGTAAGTAGTGTGTCCCTGCAGTAATATTGCTTTAGCAGTGTCGGTAACCGACTGCTCGTGGTTACGTACTAGTAAAAAATACCCACACATGAACTGCGCCGCAGGTAAGCGGCTTCTGATGTCCTCGAGAAGGCAGCAATTCGGCCTCGAGGTGGTAGGTTACCAGACATCATGGCAAGGGCCGGTTGTGGCCGGAGATTATGGTTATGGATACCGGTTGAATTTTCTATTGCTACAGGCATTGTATTTGAGAATACACGTGACGGTACAAATGTTCTTACAATAGATATTATACAAGCGGTGAGCAGGGGGACCACAGTCTGTAGTGTTTTGATGGAGTACGGGAGTCCGCGCAAAGGGCGGCAGAACAGCCTTTATAGCAAGCAGTGAGGCTGTAAACCATACACTCATTGCCCACACATGGAAGGAATTAGGGATTCTTAGGATCTTCAGGGGTCTCAGGTATTGCTATCAGAGTCCTTTATTAGGGAGTTTTTTGTTTTGTTTTTGTTTTTTTTCCAGTACAAATATTAGAGTCTATATTGATCTAATCTATAAAATACAGCAATTATTTAAGTACCCAGCTTTTTTAGTCCTTTTAAAAATAAATAATTTCTTCTATATTTTCCCTTTATATATTATATGAATTATAGTTGATAATCTATTTTATAAAATACATACTTAACTGCTTTATTCTATAGTATATATTCAAAAATTATATTTTTTGAAATAATTATATTCTACACATCTCTCTGCTTTATAGTATATAAAACTATATTAAGATATAAATTTCAAACCTTATTTAAAAAAAGGTTGCTTATCTTTTTTTATATTTAATATTTATTAATCTGCTTAAATATTTCTACTTATTTTTAATAGTTTATAATAGTATTTTCTATTTCTGCAACTGTTGTTTTCTTTACTATATTAGTATCTTACTATTAAAAAAATACTTTTGAATATTTTTACCTAAGTTTATATATTATTATTCTATATACCTTTTTTATTTATTATTCTAACTATATTAAGTCTTGAATTATGTTAAGACTTTTATCTCTACTATTGTATATAAAAATAAAGATATTTAATTAAAAAGTCGATTTCTTTCTTAAATTTTAATATAATAAATAAAAAACTGCTATATTTACTAAGAAATAATTCTATTTAAAAAAGTAAAATGAAAATTTTTAAAACCCCTTCCTATACTTGAATATATATAGTAAAATATACTTATAAACTTTATTCTACATCTTTTTAAAAGCTAAGGCTATAATACTATTCCAATAATTATTAACTATTTAATAAAAATAAATAACTTTACTGCCAATACCGCTGCTGTTGTAACTCTATATATTTAATATATATAAAAACTATACAGTCTACCCTAATCTATTTTTTAAATAAAAAACCCTAGTTTATTTCTAAATTTAAAAAACATTTAATATAATAATTTATTGGAGTGCCTAACTGTTCCACTAAAAAAGTACCTAGGCACTAATCTAATAAAGATTAGGGCTTATATAGTTACATGCCGACTCAGGTTAATACACCCCCAGTTTAGAAAAACAAAACTAAATTAAAAATTTTAAAGCTTTTTTTTATTTTTTAAACTATTTTTATTATTTTTTCTAAATAGAATAATAGCCAGGGCCAGATTTAAACCCTAAATAAATATAGTCAAAAACTATATTAGCTAAGGGCTAACTAAACTTATAACTATTAAAATATTTAACTATTTTACTAAAAAATATTTAAATACTAATTTAATAAAGATTAAGGCTTATATAGTTATATACTAATTTAGATTAATATAATTAAATATTACTAATAAACTTTTTATAATATACTACTTTAAAACTAATAGTTAGACTAAAAAAGTTAATATAATATTATTAATTTAAGTTAGTATTTAATTAGTATATAACTATATAAGCCCTAATTTTTATGTCAACCTGAGTCAGCATTTAGTCAGCATGTGACTATATGAGCCCTAATCTCTATTGGATTAGTGCCTAGGTACTCTTTTGGTGGAACAGTTAGGCGCTCCAACATTTTATTAAATTAGTATTTAAATACTTTTTTAATAAAATAGTTAAATATTTTAATAATTATAAGTCTAGTTAGTTCTTAGCTAATATATTTTTTATTATATTTATTTAGAATTTAAATCCGGCCTTAGCTATTATTCTATTTAGAAAAAATAATTGAAATAGTTTTGGAAATAAGAAAAAACCCTAAACTTTTTAATTAAATTTTTATAAAATTAGTTTTTTTAAACTAGGGGGTATATTAATCTAAATTAGTATTTAATTAGTATATAACTATATAAGCCCTAATCTTTATTAGATTAGTGCCTAGGTACTCTTTTGGTGGAACAGTTGGGTGCTCCAATAAATATTTAAATAATATTTTTATATTTATATAAACTACTTATGAAATAACTGGAGCCAGTAGCTTTTTTTAATTAAATTTATACTAAAAATAATTTATTTTAATATTATTATAACTACTCTATTTTTATAAACTATAGTTTTTATTTTTATATAGGCTTTAAATCTATAGTAATTCTAAACAGTCCAGCTAATAAAAATATAGACTAGTTTACTATAAAAATCTAAGCTATTATAAAATTTACTAAAGTAGAAATATTTATTATCTAAATCTAATATATAAAATAAGCTAACTAATAATATAAGTTTAAAAAAATTTTTAAAAAAATTAGAAAGTATAATTAAATATTTATTATATTAAAATACTAAAATCTAGTAAAAAGCTTAATTAAAGTACTTTTAAACTATATAAAATTTAAAAAATTATTAGCTTATATATTTTCTAATTAGCTTTATTTTTTAGTATAAAAATATACCCTATATTTAATACTAGTTTACTTATTTTTATTAGTAAAAAATTAGTTTTAGACTAGTATTAACTTCTACTATCTTATATAAAGATTAATAAATTAAAAGAATAAAAAATTAAAAATATTTTTAATTTTATATAAAACTATAAAGGATACAGTTACCCTTAACTAATATATACTATAAAATAAATTAAATATTTAGATTTAACTGCTAAACTAGTTTAGTATTTAAAAAATATCTACTAGATAATTAAAAACTTTTATTACTATTATTTTTAATAAACTACAGTTTATACTTTAATAGAGCTTAGCTTTAAAAAAAGGGTATACTATTATAGTATAGATTTAATATACTAATTCTACTTATTCTATCTGTTTAATTTATTAAGTTTATTTAATTTATTTAATTTATTTAATTTATTTAATTTATTTAATTTATTCAATTTATTTAATTTATTTAATTTATTTAATTTATTTAATTTATTTAATTTATTTAATTTATTTAATTTATTTAATTTATTTAATTTATTTAATTT